GAACAGAGAGACTCAAGGAAAGGCAGGTCAGACAATTTCAGGTGACTCTCTGGAGACAACCAGACAGCCCAAATCCCTGCAAGAGCCTCCCCAGTACCTGTCAGGCTCGAGCTCTCCAGGAGGTTTTCTGGTGCAGCACGCTGCCTCCAGCTAGGAAATAGCACAGCCTCCCTCCTGGCTCTGCATCTGCCTGGAGCACCTTGGAAGGTCCCACAGGCTGAGCAGGAAGATAAAACACTGCAAGAAGAAGCCGCGCCTCAGTGTTTACCTGCTCGCTTCCAACAGGGCTGACACCACCACAGCAGCCTCCAGGTGTCATAGGAACAGGCTTAAATTTAGCAGCAGCCGCCTTCCCTCTCTCCCTGGCTCTGCCTTCTCCCTTCCTCTCCACTCCCCTCGCTCTGGGAGCACGTTTACACCAGAAAGTCTGCCCAACACTAATGGTGTAATTACACCCCTGCAGTTAAACAAACAGCGAGGCTGCGGGACAAAGGAGGGTGTGCTTTGTGCTGCCCTCGAGTTGAGGGAGTTCACAACTCAGTGAGATGAAGCAGCGACCAACCCGATGGTAAAAGAGAGGGAGGATGTACAAACATCACAGAGCAGCAAAGGCTGCCCGGTGCTAACCCTGTGTTCCAGCTCCTGAGGAGCTTGAGGAAGCATCAGTTTAATCTTCTCCCAAACAAGACAACCAGAGAAATGATGCTCCGGGGCCAGAAGCCCCCGAGGCTGATGCATCCTTCCACCCCAGGATCCACCCAGCCCATTCCACAGTGCCCAGGGAAGCCACAGGGGATGAATGGGGACACCTGACATCTGAGTACTGCCTGGACAACACCTGGCTCAGCAGGGACAGGCAGGATCTCCCTGCCACAGCCACCGAGCCCAGCACTGAACCATCACACCTGCAGAACAGGCAGAGGGTCAACCATGAGCATCCTTCAACCCAACAATCCCCCAGGAAATCACGGGACATAAAACCATCAAAAGAGCTCTGGCAGCTCTGCCTTTGGGGTGGGGACCTATGATCTACAAAACTGTTCCTTCTTTTATGGTTGCTTCTCACTGTAATCATAAAAAAAGGCCTCATAAAAACATCAGTCCTAGGGAATGTCTGGCGACGCAGCTTGAAAATTGTTCAGTGTCTAAATACATCAGCAACCCATCTCTGCAAGTCAACACTGCAATCAAACACAGCTCCTCTTTCTCTTGACTATAAATGGTCTTTGCTGAGGACAGGGTGGGGGGCAGGTTGGGAGAGCTCCCTCGAGCTGGTGCACTCCCTGGGAAGGGGCAAGTCCAGAGGAACTGGACCATTTGTAGAGCTCAGATCCCCAGGGAGGGGAGAGGGTTTGATCCTCACCTCTCCCCATGGTTTTTGCTCCAGCTGTTGGACCTTGACCCATTACAGTGCAGCTCTGGTACATGCACAGCCCAACTGACCTCAAAAGACTTCAGTTCAGTGCTGATCTTAAACACCAGGCCCAGAATTTGGGCAGGTCCCCAGCCCTTCCCAAATAGTCTTTTATGGAATACACAGCCCCTTTCTCCTGTGCATCCTCTCCTTCTTCCACAGCGGTTGCTCTCTCAGAGAGAAGGGTGAAGGACACAATCTCTGATATTTTTGAAGTGTTAGAAAAATCCCATCCTTCCAGTAACCTTCTAGTTACCTTCTGGTAACCCCCTAAAACACATCCCTTACCAAGTCAATCCCAAGCAGGAGCATTTATGACCTTCTCCCCAGTGGAGCAGGGGGGTTAAATTCATGAGCAAGCCTTTGATGTCTGCAAGCTTCGTGTACTACAAAACCTCTGCTTTGATGTTCATTTTAAAGGAGGAAGCTCAGAAGGTGTGCACTGCACGAGTCCCAGGCAGGGATTTAGAGGGACTCTCATCTGTCTGTCCACAACTTCAGGCACAGGGACCGAGCTCTAACGCAGCTCCTTCTGCAACAGAGCAGAAATGTCACCAAACGTGTCTCACCCTCACCAGCTTCTCCCAGACCAAACCCACCTCCTCTGTGGAGAACCAGGCACTCACAGCCCTGAGGATTCCCATGGGAGCTCCACGCCTGACCTCAAAGGTGGACACAATCCTGCCCTCGCCCATCTCCAGAGCCAGGCAGTGCTGCTCCTTCCCACTGGGGAAATCCCCCCACTTCATGGGGCCACGGGAGGGGTAAGGAATCCCCTCTCTGCCCCAGCCACAGGACCCTCCTGTGTGAGCACCACGTGCAGCACCAGCACAGCGGCGGCAGAAGGTCCGAGGCACAGGGAGGGACCTGCCACGCTCTCCTACCTTCCGCAGCACCTGGGCCATGGCTTCTCCTATCCATCCCAGCATCCCCACGGCTTTGCCAGCAGGCTGAGCCCCTCTCTCAGGGCCCGACAGAGCTGCCAGGAGGGACAGGCTCCTCTCCATCCCCCGGCTCGCTTCGCCTCCCTGCACTTTTCCCTGCCTGCCCTCCCCTGTCCCGCCCCCTCCCGTGGGGAGTTTCCCAGCAGCTCGGTAATTAGCAGCATCATCACCAATGCTAATAACAACCACCGCAGCTCCTGCCATCCCAAGCTCAAACAACTTTGCAGCCACCATCACGCCTCTGTAACCTCCCCGGGGCTGGCAGGGAGGCAGCCTTACCCCAGCACACGGAGGGGGAAGGGGGAGGCGAACACGAGGCAGGGGATGGGTGGAAATCCAGGAGCTCTGACTCGGGCACTGCTCTCCCAGGAACTCCCCATCCCGGGGGACCTGCCTGCTGCACAAGCCCCTTGTGGGGAAGGAGGTCAGTGGCTGTGCTGACAGCAGGACTCACCCAGAGATTGCATCACTCCACCTGGGAGTCCTGGGAGGAGGTTTTTTCCTGGGAATCCCTGCACACAGCCTGGGTTCCTCTCTGCAGATCGACCCTGGGAGAGCAGCACACAGGACCACGTGTGCTGAATGGTGGGACAGCAGGGACTGTGGCACCCCACAAAAGCTCCTTAGATCAACCATCAGAGCTCACTTCGAGTCAAGGACTCGCTGTTTACTGATGGATTATTTTTGCTCTGAGCATTCACAAAATGAGGAATCTGGGGGGATTCTTGTCTGAACTCCCTGACCTGGAAAACCTTCTCTCCTATTTAGGAGGCGTTTGCTACATTGATTAACAAAAGTTCCCATGGAACTGCAGCTCTTCAAAAATCCCCCCCAAGAACCAGCACAGACAGAGGGGACAGCAGCAGGACACAAGACAAATGGGTTGCTTTGCTTTTGGCAAGACAACATTGACTTTAAACATTACAGAGTCAGGCTGGGAGCACCCACACAACACAATTCCCCTGCAGTGACCCCGCTGTGTCCCTCAGAAGGTCCCACAGAGACTCCCTGTCACAGCCACTCACCAAACCCCACTGCCAAGAGGTCACCAGTGGCTGGCAAGGTCCCACAGGGCCACTTTTAGACACAGCTTAAAGATCCACAGCCACACTCCTCAGGAAAGCTTTTTCCTGGCTCTTGATGGAGCGTGGCTTTTGTTTGGTCTCTGGCTGAACGTCTGAGTTAAAAATACAAGGCTATTTCTGGCAGAAGTGGGGGGTTTTTTTTCTGCCTTTGTATTGCCTGGTGTGCCCCCATGCTGCTGTCTCCTTTCTGGCTCAGATGAGCTTTGTTTTCCTTCTCAATGATCATGTTTGCACCGGTGAGCAGTAGGAAATGCTTTTCCCATCAGACCATTTCCACGAGCACTGCTGGGAACGAAGGAGGAGCTCAGAGAAGTCTAAAAAAAAAACCCCAGTTGGTGTAAAGATCCTGTCTCCAGGAGAGTGGCCAGAGAACCGAAAATCAGGAATGTCTGTGGTAAAAAGGGCTGTGTACACACACCCATGCACACAGGTAGAGCAGGATATGTTCTCCCCACGATCCACAGACCAGGAACAAAGGGCTCAGAGCTAGAAACGCTTTCAAGCATCCCCAACTCCACAGCCAGGCTTCATCCCCAAGCTCTGCAGCTCAGACCCAGCATGAAAATATTTAATTTCACTTTTCTTAAATGCCAAGAAAAAAATAGGCCTATCTTTCCTGGCTTGGATTTATTCCATCTGGAATCGCTGCATAATCAGGGCTGTGATAGTGTGTTACAGACTCAGTATAAAAGCAAAAGCCTAAATACTTCCAAGCACCATGAGATCACTGATCTTCCCTGTTACTCTCCGTATCTCCTGGCAACAAGCTGAGGACTTGGGGCTTCTCACTTGAGATCCCAGAGTTCAGATATCTCCAAGCCCCCTCCCACAAGCCAGGAGCATGCCATGGCTGTGGGTGTGATCCCTGTCTCCAGGACCCAGAACAAAAACCAACACAGCTGCAGGAAAACCTCCCCAGTATTTGTGTTTGTTCTGTGTCACAACAAACAGCAGCACAAGCGGAAGGTAACGGCCCACAGACAGCTCAGCTGTCAGGCTGAAGACATCAAAAAGGCACCTGGAGAGCTGTTCAGGACATGGATCCCCCATCAGCACCTGGGGAGACCAGCACAGACTGAGAAGGGCTCTGAGTCTTGAAGGGAACAAGCCCACTCCCCATGAGGCCCAGGAGGCTGAAAAATCAAGCTCAACGAAGCAAGGGGTCCAAACTGCTGTGTTTTCCTGGAATTCAAGGCATCACATCCTGACAGCGCCAGGAAAGCTCAGGTCCACACTCCTGTCCCTCAAGAGAAGGTTCCAAATATCACAGCTAAATACCAGTCTCTCACAAACCAGTTTGTGGTGGAGGTTGGTGCCACTGCTCTGGTAAATGGTCAGTAATTCTAAGGCTCAAAGAGGCAAAATGATTTGTCCAAGTTTGCCAAATTTCCAACAGCAGAGCTACACACGGGCTCTGTTTTCCAGCCAAAAGGCCAGCCCTGCACCGCGTCAGAAACGAAATAAGAACATTCTCTGCAAGAAACTCCTGAATCAGCACTAAAATAATAATAAATAAAAATAAAAAAAATACAAAATTTATAAAAACCATCTTCCTACCGACTGGACTCGGACTTCCCCAGCATCCAAGGGTGATGCACTTGGTCCCTGGGACTTCCTCTCCGAACTGGACTGGTGTTCCCGGTATTTCCTCGTCCTCGCGGGTAACGACAGGAACTCCTTCCCCGAGATCTTCAGGTCTCCCACGTGGTGGCTGTCCCCATTCTGGTCCTTGGGGAAAGCAAGAAACAAGTCAGTGCACCACTTGCCTGTCCCAGGTTTACGTGGAGATCTGCTGGCACGTACCCACGGAACGGGAGACACGGGAGCACGACGTGACCGTGGGGTTTGGAGGGTGGGAGATGCCACTCAGCACCTGCAGGGCTGAACCAGGACACCTGGTCTGTCCCTGCAGGGTGTGATTTTAGTGAGTGGAGAGGAAGCATCACCCAAACAACACACACAGGAGTCAACTCCTCCACAGGGAGAAGCGGCATCGTCTTAAAAACCCCCAGGTATGCAGGTAGGAGCGGGGCTGGTTTATTTATGGGCACAGGGAATGAGGGATGACAGGTGCAGAAACAGGCACTGCTGCGAGTGACTCCTGCCAACTGCACTCCTAAAAACCTCCTTTAAACAGAGTGGCAAGCTCATCCTGCCCAGGATACCAAACTCTTGGCATAAGTCCCTCCACTGGCTGTACCTCCACTCGTTCCCAGTGCCCAGCCCTGCAGCAGCCCATGGATAACCCGACCAGGCCCAAGGGAAGGATGCTCTCCACAGCATTTTCCACCTCTAGGATTTGCCTCCCAGCACAGACAGAGCACTGCCTGCCTCAGAGTCTCCCACTGCCTACAGCAAGAAGGAAACCACTGGGTAAGGGCCCTAAAAGGCAGATGGATATGGATGGCTGGAGTCCCATCCAGCTCTTTGCCAGCCCTCACACCACCAGCAGGACGAGGGGACAGCAGGATGATGTAAGTACAGCAGAAGGCTACGAGCAGTCTCACCCCTGCCCTCTCTGCTCCCTTAAATGCTTGTGCTCAGTGCTCCCACAGCCATAAACACAGGATTATCACCCCCAGGAAATGTTTGGGAAACGGAGGTGGCAGAGACTGCAAACAGGAATAGTGAGAACAAGTAAGGAGAGATTCATTTCCCAGGATGCTATTAATGGGACCAGCGCAGCCAGGCTAGTGTCCACAGCTTGAAAAGCAGCCACCTGAATATATTTCAGAACTAGAAACTGCCTTACAATGCCTTAGTTGGAGCCCTCAGAGTGCTCAGTGCATGACAGCCAGAAGAGATGACTCAATTACGGCACGTAAGCACCTTCAGGGTGAAACCCAGCATGTGATAAAGAGATTTTAGTCTGGTACAGAGAGGAAAAAACAAGAACCAAAGGCTGGGGGCTAAAGCCAGAGAAGCTCAAACCAAGGAAAAGGGCACAGGATGGAGAAAACAGGATGAGCAGGAAGGAGGATTCCTGCAATCTGCCAGGGCCCTGAGAACCAACGTGGGTATTTTCCCTGGCAGACAAACTCTGCCCCAACACACGACCCTGGGCAGAGGCACTGGAGCTCCTGACCTGCTGACTTTGAAGGCTGCCTCTGGCAGAGCTGGTGGGCAGAAGGTGAGACAATACCGAGGGGATGCTGCAGAGATTCACAGATCTCTGTGATTTGCACCTTACAATCCTATCACTCCCACCACAGTGAGCTCAAAGCAAACAAGCCTCTCCCACGGCTGTAATCCCCTTTCCCTATGAGCAGAGCAGCAGAGAGGAAGGAGAACTGCATCCAAAACACTTTCTCAAGTAGAGGTGAACTCACACACCCCACAGGACCACTGCAGGGGCAACAGGAGTACTCTCACCTGACTCCACAGCTCCTGCTTACCCCATCCTCCCCATGAAAGCCCTGAAATCCGTGACCCTGCCCGAGCTATTGAATGAGGTTCAGCTTTCACAGCAAAGAGCAGGAAACCAACAGCATTAACAGCATCAGCAGCAAGTCACACAGCAGCAGAGCCCCCCAGGCAGCCCTCTGGGCTGTGCTGCTCCGATGGGGACACACGATCCAATGTCCCCTGACATCGGACGTCGCTGTCCCTGCCATCGACACCCCAGGGATGGAGTCACACTGGTGAGAGCAGGGGCCAAAATGCCCAAGGGGCAGCTGAGAGAATTGATAAAAACACATCAGGGCACATGGAATCTATTTCCCAAAGACAGTCAATTCAGGGAGGAGCTTCTGGCTGGCCTTCTCAGCGCTTACTGGGATGTTCAGGCTCCCAAATGGTTTCTCAAGCCTGAGGCTTTTTCCCATTCACCATTTACACCCACCTGCAGCTTGAAAAAGTTTTTCCTCTCTGTGACAGTTCTGTAAAGGGGAAATTCTCCCTGGGATGCTCAGGAGAGCTGTGCCTGGAAAGCACTGGATGAATGTAAATTATTTGTGCCAAAGACATTCCAAAAAGGCAGAGCGTGCCTGGCCACCTCCTCTGGGAACAGGCACGACTGAGCCCCACAGCAGCACCAGTGCCTGCTGCTGGGCAGACAGAGCATCCTGAGCAGGATTTTCTGAGAGACTTAAACGATCCCTGGAGCTGGAAAGGCTCAGTGCCTCCCAGCTGGCTGCAGGAACAGCTCTTGCCCTGGGGACACGGAGAAAACGCTGATCTGCTCGGATCTGACGTTCCCAGCAGCGAAGCGGAGCAGAGGCAATCCTTGGAGCCCCTGGAACAGAACCCTCCTGCAACGCTCCAGCTCCTGCATCTGCCCTCTCTGTCACTCCAGCGGGGTGACAAGGCACCAGGATCTGCCACCAGCCCCTGCAGGGGCTGAACCGCTCACGATTATCCTTCCAAGAAAGGGCTGTTTTTTTCAAAGAAGCACAGAAGTGGCTTTTCAGCTTTGAGTGTCAAGTGCCTTTTTAGATAGACCAGCTGTTCCTCTCCTCCAAGCTCTCTAGAAACCCTCTTTGGTTAATCCCATTGACTCCAGTGATATCTGCTAATTGCATATTTCGCTGCAAATGAAGCCAGTCAACAAACCAGCGGGAATCTGTGTACAGATTCCCACTGACACTTAATCTTTGAGGCCACACATCTTCGCTTACCTTTTCAGAAGGGAACTTGAGGAAGTCTAAGCTGTCCATGCTGTTCCTTTGGAGTCTCTTTGGCCTGGCTCCTGCAAAACAACGCACCCTCACATCAGGGGGGTGTCACTCACCCACAGCACCAACGTCATGTCACGCAGAGAAAACTCAAACCACGGCAGATCCTCTGCTCTGGTTCACTGCAAAGCCAAAGGGATGGGATGTTGCAGCTGTGCTGGCCTTGAGATTCAAATGGGGGGGGTGGTTCTTTATTGTTTTGGGTCTTTTTTTCAAAGCACTATCCCAGCGCAGTCAGCACAAGCTCAGGCTGTGTGAGGCCTTCACCGCTGAACCAGAACCCAGATCACACAACCCTGATCTCAGACGGGGTCTCTGGAATTCAGGAGTTACAAACCCTGCTCAAAACCACAAAAGTCATGGGACAGGCATTGAGAAAAATCATAACAAAAATACAGTTTAATAATACATCTGTGGATTTGTTGCTTTATCTTTGTGTTTTTAACTCAAAGAATGTTCCTGGGACTCAACTTTGAGCTTTTCTCTACAGACACAAGGGCTGGAAAATTAAGTGAAGGAGCAAATGTTTTCTAACTACCATAAGCCTAACCTTAAGGGGAGCAAAACCTTGCCTTGAACCTGACAGAGAAATCAAAATTTGGCAGCACTCATATTTATTTCAGATTTCACAAAATTCACTTTAACATAGTATTCCAACAACAACAGAGTGGGCGAAACACAGTTCAGCTCTGACTCCTCATTTCCAAACCTCTTTGTCTCCACAGACTCCCTCCAACCTGCTTCCAGCTGCTCTGGCCTTACAAAATTGCCCTGGGATGCCTCCACCACACCTGGGAAAGCTCCTGCCTTTCCACTCTCCTGCTCCCCTTCCCCTGATCTTTCCCGAAGGCTCAGTTGAGCTGATTCCCACGTGACATCCCACACCAGCAACACCACGCAGGGCAGAAGCCAAAGCTCTCCGTTCAAGGTCCCATGACAACTTCCAGGCTTCAGGGGATATCCTGGGGGAGGGGGAATGGATGCCTGAGTGAGTGGAAACCCACCCCCACGCTGAGCCCTGAGAATGGAAACCACGGAGCTCTGTGTGGTTCCTGCAACAGCAAACTCACCAAACCCGACCATTCCCCAGCTTCCCACCACCAACAGCACCACTGCCTGCCAGAGCAGCCCCCATAGACCCTGTTGGAGCTGCTCCCTGGACAAACTTAACAGAGAGAAGGCACAAAATTCATAAATCAAGACTGACTGTGAGCAGAACATGGGGATTAAATGGCAAAAGCCCTCAGGTAGCAGGGATTCCTGCAGGAACACACACCCAGCTCAGGCAGGGCTCCAGACACCACCACAGCTGTATCTAAACTGCACCAACTCCAAGGACACCCCTGCTTTTCAAAGTTCATCCCTGCTCAGCTTCATGGGATATGAAACAAGCTCAGAGCAGCTGGGACATCACCAAGGGTCGTGCCCACACATCACAGCTTGGCTCTAAGTGACCCCAAGGTAACGTCTCTGCCCCTCACTCTCCTGAAGTGACTTCTTCTTGCAGCCACAAAGACTCAAATCAGCAAAATATTTCTGTGTGTTTCTGCCTCTCTGCTCCAAAAAGCACATCAGCACCAGCTTCTCTCTGAGGTGACTCATTGCCAGGCTTTGAGTTCAGAGGGACTGACATCAGGGCTGGCGAGGAGGTGCAGAGCAGGTATTGATGGGAATACACAGGAGAGCGAGGAACACACAGAATGATGAGCAGTGTCATTTCCATCAAACCTCACCCTCCTCCCCAATACAAAGCCAGTTGCTCAACTGGCAGCAGCTCAGAACATTTAGGTTGGAAAAACCCTCTGAGATGGAGTCCAAGCTGTGCCCGATCCCCGCCTTGTCCCCCAGCCCAGAGCACTGAGTGCCACGTCCAGTCATTCCTGGGACTCCTCCAGGTTTGGGGACTCCCCCACCTGCCTGGGCAGCCCCTTCCAATGCCTGAGCACCCTTTCCATGAAGAAGGGTCCCTGTGAGGCAGCTGCCAAATGGGTGAAGGGCTTCTGGCTGCTGCCACGTTGCTCAGGCAGGAGCTCAGGGAGGGGAAGGCAGAGATGGGTCGTTCCCAGTGGCTCCCAGTTACACACCACGACATTCTGGACACTGCTGTTGCTGCTCGTGGCTCTCAGAACAACCCCCAGCCTCACCTGTGGAGCAGCAAGGTGGGTCTGGAATGAAAGTCACCCACAAACACCTGCTCAGAGGCAGGTTTGGGTCTCAGAGCGATGCCCAGGAGGCCAGCCCAGCCCCTGGAAAGCGAACGTGCGTCACAGCTTTTAACAGCCACTTCCAGGAAAGCCAGAAAGCAGCAAAGTGTGTCCCATTAGATAAACACACACCATTTCCAGCCACCTAAAGAGTCATTAATTACACACCTCCGTCCTCAGGTGCTTTTGTGCCTTTCCAACAGCTCTGAACCACTGGCCAGCAGCCATTAATCCTCGAGCTGAGGAAACCTGCCCTCCCCGGTGTTAATTTAATAGAGTCAGCTGAGACCCCCCCAGCAGAACAACTTGTCTTTTTCACTTGTTTGGGGATGCTGGTGTCTCTCTTCTACCCTGTGGGGTTTACACACAGTTAAGCCAAGAGAGGAAGAAGTTTGGAGTAACAATCGACTCCAGAGCCACCCAACTTGGCTGTTTCTTCCAGGAGAAAACCCAACCAGTGCCGGGGCTGAACATCTTTCCCCCTCACCATGAGGATTACCATTAAAACAAGCAGCAGGAAGAATCAAGAGGGTGCCTATCCCTCAGGACCACCAGAAACTGGATCAACACAGGCAGTTTCTCCCCTTTACTCTGAGAGGTTTCCATACTCACAAGCGCCCCGCGACAGGAGTCCCGTTAACTTTCTGTCTCCACCCAGGACATTCCCTCAGATGGCTCCAGGAGTAACTTTCAGCCTCCTCCAAGCTGTTTTTCTCAGCAATACCTGCAGCACCACTCACTACCCAGCAGAAGGTTGAACTCTTCCTCCTCCTCCCCGGTGCCGATCACCAGCGGCGGCAGCAGCCGTGGATGCGAAGGACTGAGCAGCTGAAAACTCGGGTCTGTTCCTCTGGAAGGTTTTTTTTTTTCCTGTCTCTCCAGCATTTATTGGCATGTTTACCAAGCCTGCTGCAGAGTAACGGAAAACCTCAGGGGCATTTCTAAATGCTCTCTCTGTCTCAAAGGTTTGCTGAGGTCTCTTAACGGGGCAAGCTGAAACCTTCTTGTGAACATCAGCTGAGCAACACTCCTGACTGGCTGCATTCATGCCCTGTTTCCCTGCAGCTCCTTGGATGTTGTTCTTTTCACTGCTCAGGGGTGCTGTTTCTTTTTTAAATATTTTTTTTCAAAATCTCTTCCTCCCCCACCCCTGATCTCAGCACGACCGGGAACCAAGGGGATTTATTTTTTTTTTTTTTTTAATTTATTTTAACTTTCTCACTTTTGCAATTCGGTTCCTGAGGTGAGTTTAACGGTTTTCACGTTCTTGTGTTTGAAAACCTGATGAAGGAGCCACCTCCCTCCTTGGAAGGCAGCAACAGACTCCAGGGAAGGGGAAGTTCCCTGCAACAGAGCAGAGGGTGATGCTCAGGTGCCTGCCTGGGTGCATGAGACATCCTGGCTTCCCTCACATCCTCCCATCTCATAATTAATATCTGTTCTCCTATCTTTGGGACACTAATCCAACGTATCCAGGCCAGATACCCACCTAGATCCACCTGCAGTGATGGGGATGGCCCCTCTGCACATCCTTGTGCTACCTCTGATGACCTGGATACGGGAACCTCTACCTACAGTCAGGGGTTTGGGACTGAACCCTCCCTGCTCTCCTTGGGCTTTCTGAGCTCCTCTGTGTAGAGCTACAAGGAGCCTGCATGGCTGATGGAGAGGCTATAAAGCAGAACACGGACATGGTGCCCACAGCAGGCACAGCACCTTCCTCCCCTTCTTCTCCTAGCCTTGGGATCTGCCACCAGCTTCACACTGCCTGGGAGGGCAGGATCACTCAGGTCTCCAGAGGGAAGGGCTCTACTCCTCTATAAGGACAGGCAAATCCTCGGTTTTCAGGGTGCAATTAGAGGAGAAATCATAATATCAATAACCTGAGTTGGAGGAGGCCCACAAGGATCAGAGCCCAACTCCTGGATGCTCACCCAGTGAAAATTCTCCAGCAGTACCTCACTACAAAGTGAGATGCAGCCACAGGAAACACAAGGAGGTTTTATCAGAGGTTGGTGATGGGATCATCCCGTGGGAATGTGCGGTCGGACAGAGCTGGGCAGACAGTGCAGGCAGGGTTTTGCTCCTCCACGGACAGTCCCCGTACCCAACGGGCGCTGCCGAGATTTCACTTGACAAGATCGAGCAGAACATGTGTAGCAGCGACTCAGGGAGCCCTGCCAGGAGCTCTCATCAAGTTGACATGTGCTTTGATAACTCCAAGGCTCTCCCCCATCCCCAGCAGCTCCGAGAGCTGCCTACTCCCTCCCGGCTGGAGGGGAAGGGAGGCCCCCCCGCCGCGGATCGAGCGACAGTTCTATTTGCGGGCCAGGAACAGGCTGTACCCCTCTGGGTGGCTGCACCAGAGGAAGCACAATTAAACCTGACAGAGGACCCCATGGAAGACCAACAGGGAAAGGCTGTACAGCCAAATCAGCCCCCTCCCTGCCACCAGTGCTCCCGAGTGAGCCGCACGCACGGCTCGGTGGTTACCCCACAGAGCACAGGCTTTGCACCCCAAAGACCACACATCTGGCATAAGCTCCTGCTGTATTTTCATGAAAAGGTCATTTCTCTCTCTGTATCTGTATTAACCAACATCCTGACTTGTCTTTGGGATGAGTTCTTCCCGCTCTGGATGGTGCCCCCCCTGCTTTGTTACAGACCCAAACCTTGACTCTGGCAGATAACTCTAAATATTGTTCAATATAATTAAATCAGACCAGCCAGGTCTGGTTTGGGGTGGAATACTGGTCTGGAAACCCTCCCAAGCTCAGGAGTGACAGTGGAGATACGGTCCAGCGATCCCA